TAATATATCAAAAGCTTGGCACCAGCTACACCGCTGGCTTCATAATGTGCTTGAAGTAACAGACAAAGTTACAGTTTCACTTTATGAGGTTATTTTTTTAAATTTCATACTCTAACCAGGATCTTTTAATGCTTTGGCAAACTCAGTTTTCGACTGTATAATGGAAGCTGGGAGGTAAATCTAATGACAAAACAATCTTGTAATTATAACATTATTTCATTATGAAATCAACAGTGTATTGCAAAAGTCCAAAGTAAATCCTCTTGCATAAGGCTGTTAAATCTGCCTTTAGCTGAAATAAGGGTCCTGAGATTCAAGACCACAACAATGTAATTTTTATCCACTGCTCTAGATGTTTGATAATTCTTACATGACATATAAAGAATACATGAAATTTTCTATGGTACCACATGCCTTGGGTTGTGACTTTGCCTTAAACACTTTTTTTGTCTGAAAGATAAGTCCCCAAATGTTGTTATTGTCACTAAAACAAAAAAATTAAATAAAAATCAAATTCACTAACTGAAATAAAGTTTAAATAAAATAATATATTGGATGAAAAACTTGCCATGTCAACCAACTGAAATAAAACAATTACTATACTGAAACTGAAATAAAAATAAAGCTAAATAGAAATAATAAAAACTAACAAAAATTACAAAATCAAATAAAAGTACTAAAACCTAAAACAAAATGAAATCTGAACATATAGGCTAAAAATAAAATAATGTATAAATAATGTCCCCAACAGTTTAAAAAACAAACCTAGGCTTTTGCAGGCACACTGTAAAACTAACAGATCTTTCTCAGCAACCCTCAAAACCATCTGCTGAGCAAACAGTGAAAGCAAACACAGAGCTTTTGCCCATGAGGTACGACTACAATTCATCTGTCAGAAGGTGGCAATGCATTAAAGCGACAGTTCTACTTGTCATCATTTACTCACCACAGCCTCAAGTCACCATTCACTTTCGATGCATCTCTTCCCATACAATGAAAGTGAATGGTGACTGAACCCGTCACGTCTCCACAAAGAAAGAAAGAAAGAAAGAAAGGCTACAGTATGTTCACACACAAGTTATTCATACTGAGTTTGGATAACAAACCTCTTTCATAAAAGAAGAAGCCGGTCTATTCTTACATGAGACAGCTCAACGTCATAATAAATATTTTATGCTCTGATTAATCATGCAATCACATTTATATAAAATTGGACTAAAATAATCAACAAATAAGCCATACTAGAGACATAAAATTGATACATTGAGAAGAACTCGTTTAGATGCGGCACTTACCTTCGCGTCTTCACCTCTTCACCTCAGTCGCTTACGTCAGCTCTTTTCGACCAGCGACTGCCAAGCTGTCAAGATTTGCAGACAAACTCATTATGAATGTCCGCAGACCGCTTCAAATCAATACGGTCGACTTTCCGTGTCTTTCGGGAATGTTCGAAGTTAACCTTTTGACAAGTTTGACAAAACAATCAAGAATCTCTGAAGAGAAACGCTCGGAACGGAACGCGTGGGTCCGTTTGTACCTGCTGTGGTCTCATGCCATTTACGACCACGAGACCAGAAATCTGCCAACCTCCGGTACAAGCAATGCTGCAACAGTGCTGCTAATCCACTTCTGGACGTGCTGAGCAATGATACCATACTGAGAATGAAGGGAATGTAAGATTTATACGTTGCTGCTGATTTAGCCACAGTTGCTTGTTAGCTGTAAAAAATAATAATAATAATAATAAAATAAAATAAAAAATTTATACAAAAAGTCACATTTATTAAAAGACAGACACTGATTTGGATTCATTCAAACACTTTAAAATTTTAATATACAGAATAATGATGACATAAAACAAGTAGGCCTATTTATTTACTTTTTGACTGACCTGGAGAGGATTTTCTTTTCCCCGAAAATGATATTAATGTTATTGCATTGGATAATTTTTGTGCTTTTTTGGGGATTTATCAAAAAAATAATGCTTTTTCCTCTCAAAAACTGAGGTGCTCTGATCAATAAGCCTATAACCAATCAGGAATACAAAACCTGTGCTAGAAAGAAAACATGTTGACAGGAAAGACTGAATCCAAGATTCGCTGATAATATAGCATAATGAGATATTTACAACCAATTTTTAAAAGGCTGGTCTAGTTAGGGAAAGGATTTTCACAGAACAAGAGTTCAATTATTTTGTCTGTTACATGCTGCCTTGCCATTTTGCATTCTTTGTTGCCTTCTTAGATCACCTTTTTTCTCAACATCTCAACATGTTGTTGTACAATAGGTAACAACCAACAAAAATGACCTATTAAGAGACCCACCCAGATAGTAAAACACAGATCAAAATTATTTAGCACCTCTAAAAATAATTTAGAAATTATTTAACATCTTCACAGTTAATCAAAGTGAAAACCAGTTTAAACCAGCCTCGTTTTTGGTCTTAGCTGGTTTGTGTTGACTGTGGTTTTGAGCACTTGTTTGCTGGTCAGACTGGGATACCAGCTAAAACCCGCAAACCATCTGGTTTCAGCAGGGACTTCTTATGATCCACACACACTTAAACACCATCTTTAACTTTGCAGTGTCACTATCTGTCCTCTGTCCATGTCACTGATCTGCAAATTCAGACTGTAAGGCAAGTGAATGTTCCAGCATTTTCAGACTTAAGCTTAGTCACATGTAGGTCCAGTCAGCTGGTTTGAAACAATGCCACAGAAAGGCCAAAGTACCCTGAATTTTTCTCCATCTCGCTCTTTCTTAGTCCTCAAAGAGAAACAGAAAGACATTCTTTTATTTCAAGATCGTTTTCAATTGTTTTCTCTCGATTCAGGAAAAAATAATTATGCAATGGCTATCATCTGTTTTCCTGCAAACAAAGTTATAGATCAATAGCAAAACCGAAAGCTGGATGACAAAACACAATAATAAGAGCCTTATGAGATACTGTACATTGGCCCCTCTCTTTGCCCCTCGGCTATACAAATCATTGATGATTAATCATCATGTGTCCCAGTATTAGACAGCAGCAGATCATTAAGCAGAGTTGTTGTTCAAGCTTGTAAGTGTGTTTCAAAATGTTTTTGTCAGGGAAAATGTGTTACTGCCCCCTTTTTAGACATCTGGTAGTGATTAAATGTGAGTATAAAGCAGAGATGAAGTGTGCTTGGACTACAGAAAGCAGCAGGATGAAGAATAGTGTGCAGCTAGGGCTGTTGTGTCTCAGCCTGCTCATCTCCAGTCTTCATGGAGAAGAAGAAGTCGAGACAGATTCAAGCATGCACATCCCAATTAAGTTTGATGAGCCAGATCTTCATCAGTTTGAGGTGAGGGATAAACTTTGCTGGTAGTACATTTACTGGTAAATCACACTGGGGCAAGAATGCTGTTTCAACAGGCATCTTTCTTTTGGCATGGATTTCCCTAAATATAATTCATATGTAGTTTTTGCAAAATGATAAATTGCTTTTATATGTTTGTTTTTATTTATGTTGTTATATGTTTGTGTGAGAGTTTTGCTTACTTTGAGTCATTTATCTTTTAACAATCCTTCTGCAAGATGTACAGAGTACGAAGACAGACGGTCTCCACAGAGAAGGAAAATACAGCAAAGACAGTAGCTGTTGTGCCACCAAGTGTAAGTACACATCTAATAAAGTAACCTTTGCGCAATCTCCTGAGATGATTTTTCCAGCTGCAGCTTTTTCAAAATGTAATAACCCTAAGTGGTTTGGATGATAATCAAGCCATAATTAAGCTCTCTCTTTGATAACTATTAAAATGGCAGTAGTACTGCATGTTACAAAATAACTACTTAAAGATTTCATCTGCCAAAAATATAATCTGCAGTTTGCAGCTGTATCTGTCCTCATAATTGTTTCACAATGCAGAGATGGTCATGTAAAATGTGTCACCAGAAATGTCATGTTTGCAATCTTTTTTATTGATCTGAAGGAGAACAGCAAGACTAAGAGAAAACGGCCACGTCCAGGAGGTCTTACTCCTTTAGGAGACAGTGGAGATCCAACGGTATTCACTGTCCTCTGTCAGTTCATTAAAAATAAATGGTGAAATAATACATAGGATATATATACTGTAAATAGAGAAAAATGTTGAGTACATGCTTCACCAGTTACATGATTTTATAATCTAAAAATATATTGACTTGCTTTACACTGAATTCATCATTTGGTTTTCTCGGTTCAACATCTATCGCTGCACCAAGAGCCAGGACAATAACAGGAATAACAAACAGAAAAAACGTCCCGGGAGTCAGAGCCTTTTAGCAATCAGCGGAGTTTTCCAGGTATTCACTATTCTCTGATCAGCCTGTCAGCATGTCATTTAAACACATTAATAGTTATTTTTATTTAAGAAATAGACTGACTTGCTTTATTGTGAACTCATCATTTGCCTCCCTCAATTAAAGCTGCCCCAACAGACTGCCAAAGCCAAGAGAGATGCCGGAGGAAAAAGGCCCTTGCCAGAAAGTTAAAGCATTGTACGTGTTCAAGGCTCCTTCTGAGGTAACATATTGCAGCGCATTTACTATTTACATAATATGAAGTGGGAAAAAATTGTACTAGGTGGCTTAACAGACATTGTTGTATGTTTTCTCCTTACAGGTTACCTGAATTAGGAAAAATAGGAATTGCAAATAAATACATCACCATGTTTCATAAAGAGTGTTTCGGGCTCAGGTTATGCATGTGATAATCATTTATATTTCTATAGCTTTTCTTTTCCAAGTATATTTTAAGTAATAAAATGAAATTTGAAATAAAAAGAATTTACCGAATTCTCCCCCTAGTGTAATTCTTATTAGCATCACTAGGGGGCAATATTTACACAAGCGATAGGCGCTCGAACCAGCTTGGCTTCTGTTAAAAAAAATTTTTGATATCTGTTTATCTTCATCTCTTAATTACAATAAAGCAGTTGTGTTTAAAATTCACTCTTTTATTGTGTGGAGCCAGTGCAAAACACTGTAGATTTCTATATGTAGGCTTTCTATAAAGTTTTGGCTGTACTGCGTTTTTTGTGAAGGAACTGACATGTTGATATTGTCAAGCATAAATAGTCTGTGTGTGTTGATAGATTCTGTAGGATACAAACTGCACAACCATTAGTCCTCTTTTGTATTTGAGGAGTTCTGCCAGTTTAATGTGCCAGAAATGTTGTTAGCCTGAAAAGGCATACAAAATAGTAGGCCTATGTTTTGTGCCAGGAATTAGTCAACACATTAGTGGTCCAAAGTAAATAGAAAAGCAACACCCATTCTTCCTTATCTGCATAATCCTTGATAATAGCATAAAATTTTTGCATGTTTCACTTTGTTGTTATTTAAGCATCTAAAATGTTCTGGAACATTTAGTTTGAGATCACACAAGGCCAGTTATTACCATTGCCTTCACACTGAGACCCAAAATGTAACCACAAGCAACCATGCAAAAACAACGATTTGCACTTACGTACAATGTAAGTAGTGCAGTTGTTAGACTACAAAGTGAACAGCACTTTTTTCTAAAATGTAAAATTTGCAGCTCAATTACCCAGACCATATACTAAGGCATAACATAACAACATAACATAAAACCAGTTTTAAATAAAATAAATTGTGTGCACAAATTATTTTAAATAAATAAATAAATACTCAAAGAAACCTTGCTTCAAATAAATAAGTTGTGGCTGTGCATTACATTTATGTCATGTGCTCTCTGATAATCTTTTTTTAAAAAGGCATGTTTGTAGACTCTTGCTGGAACCACACATGAGATCAGATACGTTCACAGTATGTTTAGGTGTGGGAGCAAAGCTCTACATGCATGAGTCACAGTAAACAGACTCTGTTCTCACAGGAAGAGCAGACAGAAACAATCTACTCTGCCTTCGCTTGGCTTCTGTTAAAAAAAAATGTTTGATATCTGTTTATCTTCATCTCTTAATTACAATAAAGCAGTTGTGTTTAAAAATCACTCTTTTATTGTGTGGAGCCAGTGCAAAACACTGTAGATTTCTATATGTAGGCTTTCTATAAAGTTTTGGCTGTACTGCGTTTTTTGTGAAGGAACTGACATGTTGATATTGTCAAGCATAAATAGTCTGTGTGTGTTGATAGATTCTGTAGGATACAAACTGCACAACCATTAGTCCTCTTTTGTATTTGAGGAGTTCTGCCAGTTTAATGTGCCAGAAATGTTGTTAGCCTGAAAAGGCATACAAAATAGTAGGCCTATGTTTTGTGCCAGGAATTAGTCAACACATTAGTGGTCCAAAGTAAATAGAAAAGCAACACCCATTCTTCCTTATCTGCATAATCCTTGATAATAGCATAAAATTTTTGCATGTTTCACTTTGTTGTTATTTAAGCATCTAAAATGTTCTGGAACATTTAGTTTGAGATCACACAAGGCCAGTTATTACCATTGCCTTCACACTGAGACCCAAAATGTAACCACAAGCAACCATGCAAAAACAACGATTTGCACTTACGTACAATGTAAGTAGTGCAGTTGTTAGACTACAAAGTGAACAGCACTTTTTTCTAAAATGTAAAATTTGCAGCTCAATTACCCAGACCATATACTAAGGCATAACATAACAACATAACATAAAACCAGTTTTAAATAAAATAAATTGTGTGCACAAATTATTTTAAATAAATAAATAAATACTCAAAGAAACCTTGCTTCAAATAAATAAGTTGTGGCTGTGCATTACATTTATGTCATGTGCTCTCTGATAATCTTTTTTTAAAAAGGCATGTTTGTAGACTCTTGCTGGAACCACACATGAGATCAGATACGTTCACAGTATGTTTAGGTGTGGGAGCAAAGCTCTGCATGCATGAGTCACAGTAAACAGACTCTGTTCTCACAGGAAGAGCAGACAGAAACAATCTACTCTGCCTTCAGGCAAAACCCCGAATCTTTCAAGGTAAGAAAAGCATGGCATTATCAGTTTTAGAAGATTATTTTCTTTTTAGTTAGACATTAATATGATCCAGATGTTAGCTGCCGAATTCGCACACTGTTTGGGAGATTAGTCTTGAACAGAAAATATGCAATTACATCTAATGCGAACATTAAGATAAACTACCATGAACTGTATTAAAATGTGCATGTCTGCTATTTGAAAATAATGATAGCAACGTTTGGTTTTTAACTTATCAAATTCATGTTAAATGTATATAGTGATTCAAATTACTGAAAATAACATGTTTGGGTTCAAGTATGACTGAAATAATACTCATTTAAAGTCTTTGAATAATTTATAGTATGATATCAAAGCTTTTTGATTTGTGAAAAAAAAAGTGACAATTTTTTTGCTGGAATGAGTGCTTAATAAGATTTGAAAGTATAAAAAATGCATTCATGCATTGACTATTTATTTATTTAAAAAACATTGCACTTCTCTGGAATAGGGAATGTTTAAAGAGAAACTTTAAAGTTTATGACTTGTTTAAGCAAATGTTGGATTACACAGGAAACCTGGAAAGGATTTACAATGTTTAACTGATATGCATCTCTACTTTCGGTTTATCTGTGATTTTAAGCATGCATAGAAAAAGGCATCTGATAAAAGCAGAGAGAGGGAATGTTCGGAATGAAAGTGCTGTTACACGCCTGTGGCAATAAAACATCCTGTCTGGTAGCTATATGCTTTCTCTCTGCTTTTGTTGAAGAAAAAAAGATCAACTCTTTATCTGTAAATCTGAGAATGCTTGATCATTTCCATGTCTTTTTGCATATAAAAATCTAAAAGCTTTCAAACAAACCATTGTTTTTATTTTCAGAGCTTTAGAAGAAGAATGGAGACCTCAGAGGAACACTATTATGACTACCCCGAGTATGAAAACAACAGCTCCAACTTCAGCTACGATGACTATCAGACCATCTGTGAGAAGGGCGACGTACGCTCCTTCGCGAGGATCTTCCTCCCAGCTGTTTTTGTGTTATCTCTAGTGATTGGTTTAGCAGGCAACGCTCTGGTTGTGGATGTGTATGCATACTGCAAGCAACTGAAAACGATGACTGACACGTTTATACTTCACCTGGCTGTGGCAGACCTTTTGCTGCTCCTAACGTTGCCCTTCTGGGCTGCCGATGCCGTCCACGGGTGGGAACTCGGGGTCACCATCTGTAAACTCGTATCTGCCCTGTACACCATCAACTTCACCTGTAGCATGATGCTGCTGGCCCACATCAGCATGGATCAGTACTTGGCTTTGACACCAGGAGCCAGAAACACAGGCATTACGCGTGCTTTTCAAAAGAAGCATTGTGTAAAACTCTGTTTGGTGGTCTGGACCGTTGCGTTTTTTCTTGGCGTCCCTGATTTGGTGTTTTCAACAGTCAGAGAGCTTCCTCATAAAAAAAGCTGCATCGCAATGTATCAATCGGACATGGCGCTCAGGGCTAAAGCTAGTTTGGAAGTGGTGGAGGTCGTAATAGGCTTCTTGCTACCTTTATTAGTGATGTTGTTCTGCTACACCTGTGTAGGCCGAGCCCTACTGAAGCTCCCTCAGGAGAGGAGATGGAGGAAGTGGAGGTCCCTCCGTGTGCTGCTGGTGATGGTGGGAGTCTTTGTGGTCACACAGCTGCCCTACAACGTGGTCAAGTTCTGCCGGGCCATGGACATCATGTACACATTTGTGACTCACTGTGGGGTTAGTAAAGAGCTGGACAGGGCTACTCGGGTCACTGAGAGTCTGGCACTGACACACTGCTGTCTGAATCCTGTTCTGTACACTTTCGTCGGTTCCTCCTTCAGACAGCATGTATTGAAGTGTGCCAAAGACTTTGGAGATAGGGGAAGGAGGTTGGCACGTACGAGAGAGCAACAAGAAGTGGATATCTCCTTGAATTCTCATTCACAGTCCCAAGAGACCAGCACTTTTTCTATTTGAGCAAACTGAAGAGTAGATGTTTACTAGCCTGTGGAGCTTTGCACAATCTGCCCCTTTGCAAAATATGTACACACAAAGTGATAGCGCAGGGATTTATTTCTTAGTCAAGACATAAGGCAGTATTTTTACCAGAAGAGTAAAATTCAAATTGAAGTAAAAGCTGAGATGCAAAATGTCGATAGTTGCGTTACAAAGTCCCTTTTCTATAGTCTTTGGTCAATATGAAACAAACGGAAAAAGAACAAGTCCGCGAAGTGATACGAGAGATATGTAAATAGCGCCGGACTACTAGCGGACTGATGGTGAGTTCAAGTCCTACTTTACGCATAACTTTGGTTGAAGCAAGATGGCAAGATGGCCATGGCTTTTTTTTTTTTTTGCTGCATTATTCAACAAGATTTTACCTGTACATCTACAAAATGATTAATAGAGAAGAGTTTCCACTCGTAGGCTAAATGACTTTTGTGGTGCGACGTCTGCATATTTAATACTAAAATAAATAAACAAAAAAACACCAAAAAAAAATATATATATATATATCAGTCATTAGTTATTTAACATTGTGTTTCTTTATATTATTTATGGTGTTATTTAATGATAATCAGCTGTTATACAGTATGGCTTGGAGTATACCAACCAAA